AACAGAAATCAAGCATGAAATGGAGCAAGATACTTCGATGCAAAAGCTAATCAAAGTAATCCAAGCCGGATGGCCAGATGAACGTCAAGCTTGCTCATGTGAACTCCAAGCATATTGAAACTATAGAGATGAACTCTGTATTCATGAAGGACTCATCTACAAAGGTAAACGCATAATTATCCCCTTAAAATTAAGAAAAGAAGTTTTATCCCAGATTCATGCTGGTCATATGGGCCATGAAAAGTGTAAAAGAAGGGCTAGACAAGTTGTTTTCTGGCCTGGTATGAACCATAAGATAGATACATTGGTGAACCAATGTGAAGCATGCCAAAAACACCAGCATCAACATCCTGTAGAACCCCTTAAACCACACCTAGTTCCAAATCGACCATGGCAAAAAGTGGCAACTGACCTATTTGAGCTGAACAATCAGCATTATATTGTTATTGTTGATGCCTACTCCAACCACCCCGAGGTGCAAGATTTGACTAATCAGTCAAGTAAATCTGTAATCAATGCCAGGAAAACAGTATTTGCTCGATTAGGCATTCCCGAAGAGGTCCTTAGTGATAATAGACCTTGTTATAGCAGTGCTGAGTTTGCCTCATTTGCTAAACAATGGGATTTTAATCACATAACTAGTAGCCCAGGATTTCCACAGTCCAACGGATAAGCAGAACAGACAGTTCAAACTGTAAAAAACATCATAAGTAAATCGATTGAAATCAAAGAAGATTATCAAATGGGATTACTCGTATATAGGGCTACACCTCTTGCTAATGGGTTCAAACCAGCAGAGTTGCTAATGGGTAGGAAAATACGCAGCAATCTCCCTATCACAGGATTAACTCTAAATCCAGCAACGCCACCCAATGTTAAAGACATAAAGGAGCAGGAAAAAAACAATCAAAAACTCTATCATGATCAGCATGCAGAGAAACTCTCAGTACTAATTCCAGGAGATCGTGTCAGAGTAAGACAGGATGCGAAACCCCGCTGGAAAGACAAAGGTGAAGTGTTGAAAAGAGTAATGCCTAGATCGTATAATGTAAAAACGGGAAACGGAGCAGTTCTTAGACGCAATAAGAGAGACTTATTAAAGATACAGGAGAAAGCGAAGGATAGCACAGAGAAGGAAAAGGCACAGGCAATGGATTTGGCAGGTCGGAAGAAACACCAGGTAAACACAAAGATCTTAGATAAGAAGCCTGAAATAAAAGCAAGCGTGGGCACTAAAACCAGAACAGGAAGGGAGATAAAAAACCCAGACAAACTCTCGCTGTAGATCTAGAAATTGTAGTTAACGATTGAACCTCTAAGGAAACATTTTAGTATATTTATAATATAGAAACACTTGTGTTAAAGTTGGGATTTGCGTTAGTTATGGGACATTTATGTTAAAGAAAGGAAGGTGTAATGATATGACATAATACGGACTGCATGAAAACGAGGGCAGCCTCGTGGGACAGGGACGAGACAGTTTTGCATGTTTACTTGTAGTCATACTAGTGTGAACTATAACTTAAAAGGAATAATAATAACTTAACACCCCCACGGAGGAAATTTCTGCCATCTGGAGGGGGAGGAGAGAAAAAATGGTATCTGATAATAGTAAATGTATTAGGACATCCGAAGGGGGCAGGGGGGTTAACTTCCAATTTCCTCCGTGGGGGTGGTATGGATGTTTTCTGGAATGACCCAATAACATATTTTTAAGAACAAGATGTATGTTAGACAACAGTATATAATATTTAGTATAATTAGTGTTTTTGCACAAGTGAACATAACAAATCCTGCAAGGTCAGGGGGGTAGGAACTGGGGGGCACCCCACCGGGCACACGACGTTGTTTCAACGTTGAAATTTGGTAGAAAAAAGGTTGCGACGTCGACAACCTAATATCTACGTT